GATGTGGACAGCATGGAGAGGGTCCAGAGGAGGGCCACTCGCATGATCAGGGGGCAGCAGAGCAGGCCCTACGAGGAGAGGCTATGGGACCTGAACGTGTTCAGCCTCCACAAGAGAAGGCTGAGGGGGGATCTAATGGCCTGTTACAAACTAGTCAGAGGGGATCAGCAGGCACTGGGGGAGTCCCTGTTCCCCCGAGCACTACCAGGAGTGACTAGAAATAACGGTCACAAACTGGCAGAGGGTAGGTTCAGATTAGAGATCAGGAGGCGCTACTTCACTGTCAGGGCAGCTAGGATCTGGAACCAACTTCCAAGCGAAGTGGTGCTGGCTCCTACCCTGGGGGTCTTCAAGAGGAGGTTAGATGAACACCTTGCTGGGGTCATTTGACCCCAGTACTCTTTCCTGCCATGGCAGGGGTTCAGACTTGATGATCTGCTTAGGTCCCTTCCAACCCTACCAACTATGAAACTATTTACTTCCCATCATTGTAATGGCAGGGCACTGGCAGTGCCCATGTCTCCTTGCCTTCTGCTTATGGCATGTTGCAGGAGAGGTGCACCGGTATATTGGTCATGTATCAGATCAGCATCAATAAAATTAAAATTAACATTATCAGCAATTGGCTTTTTTTGGCCCATGTAGCCGATAATGTCACCAATAAATGCCGTGTGCATGAGTGCCGCTGCACCACGCACATGGCCAGGAAGGCAGCTGAGCAGCTTGGAGAGCAGCATCCAGCCAGTAAGTCTCTGGGAAGGAAAGGGGCAGGGGGAGGGAAGGGATGTGAGGGGGAGGCAGATCAAGGTGAGAGAAGGAGAGGGACAGGGGCTGGCCAGCCAGGGTGGTGAATACAACCCTGCTGGGAGCAGGATGGAGTTACACGTGGCTTGTCCAGGGGGACAGCTCCTCGCTGCTGCGTGCACCCCCAGGAGAGGCATGGGGGTATGTGTCCCCCAGATTTGTGCATGGGGTTCAGGTAGACTGGCCGCTGTGGCCTCAGGGGCTGCACTGGCCTCTTCCTGGACAGGGGGCTGGGCCGGGGCTGCACTTGGGGCAGGTGGCAGCAGTGCTGAGAGGAGTGGCTACAGGGTGGGCTACAGCCACTACAAAATTCCCTATAGCCATCCCTCCCAGCACTCCCACCACCACCCCCCCCACCCCCC